AACTTGTTGAATCAACATAGCAACGCGTGTCTTAATGATATGGTCCAGTAATGATCCTCCGAGGTAATTATTTCCTTTATTAATGTTCCCCGACTTCTACTTGATTCTGAACTCCCGTATGTATGTATATTGGGTCAGACTGTCGTTTTATTAGGTTATTAACACGGTAAAGACTAGGTTTTTGTGGATATAATAATAGATGCACCAGATCCGGTGTCGGGACATCTTATATTAATGTAAAAACACATCAATGTATCGATCTTTACAATTATCGGTCCGTGTTGGCCACCTGTGTAATATTCGGTTAAACTGAGATATATTAAGGCGGTAGAAAGTAGGTTTTGGGGATGCGAAATAGATGTACAAAATAAGGTGCAATATTACCGATTATCGCCCGGGATGTTTTTAATTCACCATGTATATTTGGGTCATATTATGTCTTCATCCATATTGGATTATCATAACGGTAATGAGTAGATTTTGGAGTCATATAATGGGTCTATAAATTTAACCAAACGTCGGGACCGCAATAATTAATGTAATAAAATAAAGTAGGAATTGTTTACATTTGTGATTTATCGAGTATCGACCGATTACTTTTCTTTTTTACATGTCTGTACTGGAGCTCGTTTAGATTATCCGAACTTTAAAGAGTCGGTTTCGCAGATACGGGTTTATTAGACCCTAGACCAGGGTCATTGTCATTAATTTAAAAAGTAAAAAAGCAAAGCATCGAGTGTGTTGCTTCTAACGTGATTAACCGATTATCGACCGATTTAAATTTCTAATTCCGAGGATGCGTATTGGATTACATTGTTTAAATTGCAATGATATTAAATGACATTAAGATGACTGTATCCTTGTTTGGAATACAGACGCAGGGCCTATTTCAACGTGCTTTGAACAAATGTTATGTAGCCATGTGAATCTGGCAAGATTATATGGGGAAACTTAGCTATCATTATGATCATCGACCACTTTCGATTTCTATTTCAAAGTTTTGTATTGTTGGCGTATTCCCACCACTACTTAAAGCACGAAAATTACATAGCAGAACATTGTCCGGTGTAGGTGACAGTGAAGATACGTTTGCCTTTGGATCGACTTCGGATGATTCTTTGGACTGTTAATGCTACCCACACACGGTTATAAATATAAATATGTTCATTCTGATATATTTTGCTTATAAAAGGATAAGCGTGATATCGGAAGTCAAATTCTGGTAATTTTTACGGAACCCCAAAACACAGGAAACCGTGCTCCGCCAATAAAACCTTGAAATAGGCCATGTACAGGCGTCCGAGCAAATGTTTGGAAGAAAGTACATATCATAGAAGTGGCAAATTGAAGCGATTAAAAATAAACATCACAAACTCTACGAATCTCTGGATACTGTAGTTTACTTAAAAATACGACCTTTGCATAATGTTAAATTCAAAAAGAGAGTCGATACTCAACCGCACATGTTATATGTAGTATTGTATTCAACTGTACAATTCAGCTGTACAATATTATGCTGTAAATTCTACAATTCCATGGACAATCTTCGGATTTGTTATGCCAACCAAAGCCTATAATGTTGCTGCCTTTAACACCTCTGGCCAAATTTGATGGCGTGTACTATTGTTTGAATTATAGATAATTACTCTGCAGTAGAAATATTGAACAGCTTATCCCGGAATAAAGTTCTTCACACTATTTGCTTTTCATTCTAGAAAAACAACAGATTGTCTTCTAGCTAATAATTGATTTACTTTAATGGTATTCCTGTGTATATACGTAAATATTGGCCTTCCTCTTGTAAAATATATACAATAATAGAAGACAAAATCATTGTTTATTTTGTATTGTCTTTCAGCTATACATCAATCTTTCAGAATCAATTCATTAGTAGTAGATTCCCAGCAGTTAATGGGGCTTGGTTTAAGAGATAGTGAAGTAATTGTTCATATTTGTAATTTTCATATTTAGAAGTAGGTGGGGCCTGGTATTACGGATGGTGTGGTAATTAAAAGTTCTTACAACACTATGGATAAAATAGAACCAATGTATAACTTTGCAAGCGCATTTCGAACTCATAATACAAGTATTTATTGCGCTAGACAAATTAGGATGTTATGTTATGCTAATATGTTATGTGGTGTTAAATATTTTCGTGAAGGATATTTCAATGAATTAAAATTCGATAAATGCCAAAATAATAGGGGCATGATTTCGCGGGCGGGTTTGTTCATTTGTAGGGCTCGACGTCCGCTTGCACCGAGGGTGATATCCCAGATACGTACTCGTGAGGTGACTCTTCTCCCAATTATCAATGACTTCTAAAAAACATGCCGCTGTCATATTGCTACTGAAACTTTCTGATTTGGTCAGTTTTGAGGTCACTGGTCTTTTATTTCTAATAAATATTGTCAGCTATTTTTAATAAATAATGTTAGTTACCAGGATAAAGACAAAGTAAGTATCCATTCATGTCTATAAAATTTCATAAATTACCAATGAACTCCCAGTCAATATGTAAGACACAATGTTATGGACAAAATTTCCTCGGAACCTTTTGTCTTAATGGAAACATTTAATCGATATGACGAGTTGTATAATCAAGTCAATGATAGACCATGACATCATTGATTTTCCTGAAAAACATTGTATTCAAGTCAGGTAGTTGCCATTGTCGTTAACAAAAATCTCTTATCTTCAGAATGAAAAGAAACGTAGTTCTGTGGAAACTTAGTTCATTATAACATTAATATGACTTCATACAAACGCACTTTACTGTATAAGGAGAGTTCAATGAGTTCAGGCATGGAATATAGACACATATATAGACACTCAAACGTTTAATTAACAGCAATGGGGGGGGGGGGGTATTCTCGTTAATGACATCTAAGTACTTTTACCTTCCGCGACTAACATAATATTTCAAGACAGAGAACGATATGGTGTGTGTGAGAGAGAGAGAGAGAGAGAGAGAGAGACGGGAGGTAACGTCCGCTCAACACAAACTATGTCATTCCGGGATTAGTAAGAAAAGGTACAATTATTCGGTAATTCGCTAGCGTGTAGGTGTCTTTAGCAATGGAGCGAAACAGACCTTATGATGTAAGGTGCACGCGTTAAACTATTCGGACACCCAGCGACCCAAAACCACCGCCCATTTAACAAATCTGAGTTAATATGATTTTCATTATTCCTTGTGGACAAAAATTAGATAAAATAAGCTATGGTCGTCTCGAAGGAACTGTTGATTGGGTACACCATGCCGGTGTCTTCTATTGTCACAAATCTATGCATTAATACTGTGTTACTTAACTTAGGTCTTTGTAAACAACAATACTGGTCCCCGGGTCATCTTAAAACCTGGAAATCGAATCACTAGACGTTAACTGGGATTTAATTGGTCCACAGCATTATTAGTCCAATGGTGCTTCGAGTCATAAAAGTAATTTAGCATGTCTGCCATAGAAACATAACAATGAGCATAATTAACAAAATATTGAAGAAACCAATTAATGTTATCAGGTGCATTTCGGACTTTAGTGAAATATTAAATAGCTGATTGTGGTCTTTAACCGGTTGGCGATAAAATATCCCTCAAAGCACCCTCATAGTGTATTTCAGTCTTCATTAACACGGTTGGCGCAGAAAAGTAACATGTTAAACTTCATTTCATTTAGATACCTAGCAAAGACTTTTGTCAGTATGTTGCCTGCCTTGAGAATTTTTGATTGGTCATAATATAGTATTGTATAAACAGATATTTATTCTAAGTGACATTAGTAACACCCTCTGAGTTATACGATTTATGGCTTTTATTTCTAGAAAAAGTAACGCTTCATCAATCATCAAGGTTTTAGCAATCGTGAAATAACAACGAAACAGTTTGACTTGACACCCAATAAACATCTATCATCGTCGATTAAAAAATTCTCCAATCTAAACAGGTTGATATGACAGATACTAAGAGTACCTGCTATCTGGTCGGTGCATCATGATCATGACAGATTGTCAATTCATTTAATGAAGAACTTGAATCGAGCAGTTTCTGGATAATGGACAATTCTTTTGCAATGGTTAGTTACTGCCTGCAACTACACAAATTTCAAAGCTATTTCCCTTTTTTAGCATGTACATTGAAATTAACAGGTATTGAAGGAATTTATATTAACATCTTCAGTGATCTTTTATATCGGCAGAGCCAGGGCTTTGAACTGATAAGACTGAAAAGAATCGTATACTATTATAGCCCTCTGAGATACAGAATCTACAGTTGCGATAGTTATTATTATCAAACTTATTATCACTTTCTGTTATGTTACTTAATTCGTGGTATAGATCAAGTCATTAAAAAGTAACATGTTTTGTGTCATCTGACCCTGTCCCGTAATCGGTGCCGGGTTTACTTATAAGCTTGACAGGCTGAAGGCTAGGGCTTTGCTCGATTTTTATAAAACACAAATTCATCTTCCTCGTCGTGAGGGTGGGGTGGGGAGATTAGGAGGGGTCTCAGAAATTGGATAGCCCAGGGCCTTTCTTCATTTAAATCTTGAACGGTCCATAATATAGACAAAGTATGATCTCGTTTTAGATAAAACTTGCTTCCTAGTACAGAAAAGTCCGGATTTATTTTAAAACATCTTATATAATCTTTCGTGACAAAAGCATTTGAATCTTAATACGAGAATGAAACCTTAATAGAAAAACGCTATCTACTTCAAAATTATTTATAAAATTTCGAGAATATCTACGAAATCTAAGGGATAAAATCCTGATTGAAAATCAGTTATTGAATAAGAATTTTTTTAAACTCGGTGATAAGGAATTGATTTCCTTGTTAACTTTAAATTAAGACTACATGGAAATACTAAACTAGCTTGCCGGTTTCCACAATGAGATACACGTACTATCAAAACTACGCATTTTCCCATTGATCTGGAAAGACTATACTCCCAAAATATATTCTTGAATACAACATTAATGTAAAATAACTGTTTACTTACCATCTACAATAAGAAGTTAAAATATGCACTAATCTAATGAGCCAGAAGACTGGCTACGAAATCAACAACACTAATAAGTTCTAATAAAGAAAACTGACAGCAACCGACTCTTCGGCTCTCTTCAGTATGACGATTCCACACGTTACTAAAACCACAATCATCGATTTGTCTTCAGAAGAAAGATGGTTCTTTGACAACCAGTCGTCAACAATCCTTCTGAATTCATATCCTCGTTCTCGAACTGGATGAACAAGTCCAATGATGTCATCGTGCCTAACGTATTGCTTCCGTGATCCTTGCAGACGGGTCTACTGCACCGTACCACGTGGCTATTGGTATTGATTGGTTACCAAGGTGATGTCTCGCAGTCATGATTGCTAATCCAAAGCACTATCTTTTATATCAAAATTCGCTATTCCGTCCTTAAATTTACGAGCTTGCAAGCAAGTATAATTGAATTAAGCATATTTTGAGTATCTTATAAGAAGAAAATTGCTTATTTCCAACTTATACAAATTGATTCCCGGAAAAAGACGATTCCTTTAATTTTAGCTGGCAACCATTTATACTCTCCCGGGCGTTAATATCCGAGTAAATATGAATCTATGGATACCGGTTTCTAATGTATGGAATCCCATCATTATAGCCTTGCAGGAATCGTACAAATGATTTTAACTGGGAATATCATTGAATTTACCAATTAGATTTATTACATTTGTATTAAAATAGTACAAGTGATATGTAAAACAATGCTGCGATGGATAACACTCATTTTCACATCACAAATTACCAAATGTGTCGATGGCGTCATTTAAAAGAACATTAAAGGGACAAAAGACATTACATATATAAAACTGTTGACAGCTGGAAGCTGGAGAAAGCATTGATTTATACTCAAGTGTTTGAAAAAAAAAATAGTTAGATCGTTAAATTGCACGAACTCTTTAATTTTTTTTAAAACAATTTTAATATTAGATTACGCCGCTGGTTCCAAGGAACAATAAACCAATTAGTGATCAAAATATAACTATGCATTCTCCACAAATAGTACTAAAGAGGGCAGGGTTCATTTTCAATATGGCTGATACCTACAAGGTTTTTTCACTGTCAATCTGATTCACTATTTTCAAAGAAAATACAATTGTAAACGTAAATGTTGCTGGATATTTTGTTGGGATTTGCTTAATATTTTCCTTATCATATTACAATCTTTAGTCCCATTTGATTACAGCTACAAATAGTTTTAATATAATAGAACACAAAAAGAGCGATTATATGATTAGTGAAAGTCGGATTGGATGATTCTAGAACGAGTCCAGCTCAAAGTATATCCTTCTGTTCAACATCCATTCACTTACACGTTATTAATATCTTTATTTTTGATTCTGAAAGTAAGCCTTATCTCGACAATAAGTTTATTTTCAACTGAAAAAGATTTAAGTTGCCAGCAAAAGAAACAAACGCCCACATGCAGTTATATATGGGGATTTTCAAATGTGAGGAGGCAGGAACGCAAAAGGGCAAGGGTGGGGACGCGAAAAAACGGGGATTTTCAAACCCGAGGAAAGGAGAAGTCGAGTCTGGAGGCGGTATGACGATTGAAGCCTGTTACGCCATATCGATTAACCCAAAACATTATTAATTGGTTTTGTTGAGTAAATGAAAAATAAATGTTACAAGTGACCACGGAATCTGGAAGGTCGGGGTGGAATGCGTGCCTCCCAACAACATATAGGGGATATTGAAATGCAAATAGATATGCAGGTTGTGATATGATAAATAGTCATGGACACTTGACATGCTTTGAGAGTATGTTCACAGATGAAGAACTTATCGCCCCAACAGAACCACTGAGCTGCAAGTGCGACACACAATAGCGCCATACGCGTGGGAAGGGTTCATTGTCAACTTTGACACTTCAAGGAAGGGTTGATGAAAACTGCTGTGTGCTGGTTTATCCTATCCATGTCTGATTTCCTATCGGTTCTTGCATAAGATTTACTGTTTAGCGTATCTTTGCTTTAGTGCGTTACGTTTTATTTGCAATAAGACGTCTTCAACATGATGAACTTCTACGTGCTATTGGCATGCTTCAACTGGGTTCTACACAGCGAGCAGTAGCCAACATGCTTAATGTAGAACCGGTACCAACAAACACACAATGTTGATGATAGACCTCGTTCAGGTCGTCCTAGAGCCACTACACAAGCTTAGGATCGATACATTCGTACACAGGTCCTGTGAAATCGAGGACAAACGACCAATCAGCTTTCTGTAAGCTTGTACCAAGTTACAGGAATTCGCGTTACACACCAAACGATTAGAAATCGGCTACATGCAGCCCATTTGCATGCGACGACCGCGTGTTGTGCCTCCATTAACTCACCAGGACATGGCAAACAGGAGTCAATGGTGTAGGCAGCGTAGAAATTGGGGTAATCGTCGATGGGCGTGTGTAATGTTCTTAGATGAGTCCAGATTTACTCTGGATTTCACCGATAGGCGTGCTCGCGTTTGGAGGCGTGTAAATGAGCGTAATGCTAACGTTAACGTCAGACAGCATGACAGATTCGGGCGTGGGTCTGTTATAGTGTGAGACTTGCATATTGTTCAAGGAAGGGTCACTGGTGTGAACTACCGTGACCACATCCTGGCACCGATAGTTCTGCCCTTTGCTCAACGTGCAAGTCGATGTTTCATCTTTCAAGATGATAATGCCCGTGCTCACCGCGCTCGTGTCGTGAATGACTACCTTCAGCGTCACCATATTGTCCATATGCCTTGGCCAGCCATGAGTCTTGACCTTTCCCCTATAGAGCATGTCTGGGACATTATCGGGAGACGTGTTAGTCGACGTCAACGTCAACCGACAACACTGCAAGAATTGGAGTGGCACTGCAAGCGGAGTGGGTCAGATTGCCCCAAATCGTGATTGGACGGTTGATTAGGAGCATGCCACGACGAATTGCTGAACGTCTGAGAATTGGTTGAGAAATGACTCATTATTAAGACAAAAATTAAAATCGTCCCTTTTCACTTTTGACAGTGTATCTCTTTGCGAGTGATATGGGGCCGTCAGATAAGCCGGCCATATGAACTCTTTATGTTCATGTGTAGACAATTGGCCTGTTATTAACATACACTGGTTACCTCTAATAAAAATAGCATTGATGAAATTTAATTTATATATTGGTGCTACTTTGAATTTGCCCGTTCCACAGGTTTCTAGATGACTACTAAGCGGAATTGTTCTATTTTCCGGATGTGTAAGTTCATTCGTAGATGCAGCTGTTGGTCGCTTTTGCCAATATAATAATCCTTATATCCCGAGCAAGCTAACAAGTAAACCACATGTTTGGTTTTACAGTTCATGTTTTGTTTTACTTCGAATACTCGGTTATTTGAAATGGGAAATGTTGTGCCTTCCATTATGCCTTTACATGTTCCACACCGCTTATCGCCGCATTTTGAAACGCATGGTCTTTCCGTATTTTTATCCAAGTTGGTGTTAGAAACAATCTTCTTCATTTTGGGGCATTTATCCAGCATCTATTTATTTATGTCGATGAGGTTCATCGGTCTATTGTGGTGTGTATTTATTGTTGTGACTTAAGTCATGATGCTATTGTTATCCTTCTTCTGTTTTGGGACGTGTAGGGTATCTTGGTCTAGTGTTAAAGCTCTCTTTATGGCATTATCGATCAGCTTTATTGGATAATCTTGTTTTATAAGAAATTGTTTTAGCTCACCAAGTCTTTGATTCTTCCACGTTTCATTCGACACAATTGTACAGACCCGTCTTGCTAGATTAAACTGGATATTTCGTTTTGTATGTGCCGGATGACTCGATTTGAAGTTAAGATATTGGTGAGTATCTGTTTTCTTATAAAATAAATCCGTTCCGATAACACCATTTTTCGATAAATGTACTTCAACATGTAAGAAGCTCAATTCGGATTTGCTGCTTTCCATTGTGAATTTCAGCGATGAATCCAACGAGTTTAATATTTCGTGGGTTGTATCTAGGTCCTCTTCATCCGAACGGATGTCAAAGTAGTCATCTAGAAATCGCCTCCAAGACTTTTCTAAATGTTGTCGTTTATCGAACCCCAGTCTTCTCCCTACATCGTTATAAAATAAAACTTCTAAATATCCAAGGGATCACGTTGCATAGGTCGTTGCACAGGTTGCATGAATGTAGATTGGTCAAAATGTAACATCCGGTACGTTATTATGCGTTCCAAGAAAAAATTTAAGCACAATTTCGTTCTTAAACATTGTCATCTAAGCACAAGTCCCGACCAAAGTATACGGCTTGCTTGCCATCCTTAAGCCTGTTTCTGCTTCAAACAAGATGGCTGACCGTAGAGTTATTCGACGGCATTTACTACATCTTTTGATGTCAAAGAGACAATTGAAAGACAAGAGAAAATCCTCTAGAAACATATTCTCGAAGAATGCTATAGAAAATTTCGCTTCTAGTACCCTGAAACCATTTTATTTATTTACAAATTAATAAACAACACAAACAGGCGCTCTCACAATTATTCCGTCTGTTTGCATGTGCTTGCGTTTGTTTTTTTGTTGGTTTTTTTTGGGGTTTTTTTGTTTTTTTTGAGACGGTATTTTATAAAGTTTCTTACGTAAGCAAAAGTGAAGCATGACTTTGTGCTTACTTTTAAGAATTTTCTAGGAACCGGGCCCATTCCCACTAGCGAAACCACTCCGTTCTGTTGATTGTTGAAGGAAATTAAGAAGTTCGCACACCTAAGGACATGTTGTTATGGTTCATCCCGACAAAATAGCCTGGTTGTCACTATTAAAATTAAGACAAATACTGTAAACCGTCCTGTATAAATAAGTTAAGCTTGCGGTAATTATAGGAGCATAGATGTAACTATCGGTCCGACTTTTCAACGTTGCCAACCTATTTAATTAACGCTCTTATCCTTCCTCCTCAAACTCATGAATATCCACTAAAACCTGACAGGAGAAAAGGTATATTCAAACCCTTTCTTCGATTCTACATTAAAAAGTCAACAAAAATCGCCATGCAAAAGCACGAAAAGGGGAAATGAGGATAAAGACTATTAATAACGTTTGTACTATGTAACCAGCGTAGGAATTAATAGTGTCCTGTGTCTTATATATTTGATGTTTAGAGGCGTTCCTTGATTGTCTATGATATCACCC